GATTCAGATAGAAAGAGGACCTTTTTCTCCAAGTGGAACAAGCTGACTGGTGGTTCTGTGGGACTGCATTCTTATGGGCTTTATGCTTATGATTCTGTTTGGCTGGTTGCTTATGCTCTTGATGCATTTTTTAACCAGGGTGGGATCATTTCATTCTCTAATGATTCTAGGATAAAGTCTGTAGAAAAAGGTGGTAGTCTTCACCTTGAAGCAATGAGCATTTTTGATGATGGACCGCTCCTGTTGAAAAACGTATTGCAAAGTACTTTTCTTGGTTTGACAGGTCCTATTAAGTTTGATTCAGAGAGGTCTCTTGTTCTTCCAGCATATGATATTATTAATGTACTTGGTACTGGGTTTCGACGAATTGGTTACTGGTGTAACTATTCTGGTTTATCAACTGTTCCCCCTGAGATGCTCTATTCAAAGCCACCTAATCGTTCCAGTGCAAACCAACAATTATACAGCGTTATCTGGCCAGGGGAGACATTGTCAAAGCCCCGTGGTTGGGTTTTCCCAAACAATGGGAAGCAACTAAGAATTGGTGTGCCTCTTCGGGTCAGTTACCGGGAATTTGTATCACAGGTTCGGGGAACTGATAATATGTTCAAGGGTTTCTGCATAGATGTATTCACTGCTGCTGTAAACTTGTTACCATATGCTGTTCCATACCGATTTATCCCTTTTGGAGATGGTCAGAAAAACCCAAGCTACAACGAGCTTGTGTATTCTATCGCAACGGGCGTGAGTAAATCTATCATAGATTCAATATTTGAAATTCCTGTCATAAAAGACAAGTTTGATTTGCCAATATGTGCACATTCTTTGGCTAATTCTCTCATTTACTATTCGCAGGTCCTTGATGCTGCTGTTGGTGACATTGCCATTGTTACAAATCGAACGAAGATTGTGGATTTTACACAGCCATATGCTGCCTCTGGACTTGTTGTAGTGGCTCCATTTAAAAAATTGAACTCTAGTGCTTGGGCTTTCCTTCGGCCATTTACTGCACGTATGTGGGTTGTCACTGCTGCTTCCTTTCTTGTTATTGGTATAGTTGTGTGGATTTTGGAGCATAGGATAAATGATGAATTCAGGGGTCCACCTAAAAAGCAACTTATAACCATCTTGTGGTAAGTTCTATAGTTAAGTATCTTATCACGATATCTACTAACTTGTACAAACTGTTTTTCTTTTTGACCAACTTGCACCAACTGATTACCTAGTTAGTTTATCCTTTGCTTAACAATG